TGGTATTGGCCCCACCTACACAGAGCACCACGTGTTTTTACTAACCTTGGGTAACCTTTCTGGATCACCCGGATGTCTGGGGATCACTTTCTGCAACCTCTGGAAGCCGTAATCTATGGTTGGTTCGTTAAGGGCTGCAACAGGACAGAAAAACGCAGATCAGGTTAATTATTGTTACATCATCCGTTATGTGTTTACTGCATGCTTACATACATGTGTGAGGTTCTCCTCCTCTAATGTTCTTTAAGACAAGCACCCTTGAATACTAGCTCTGTCTTAAGGAATAGATTTTCCCCTTTCTTTTGCACATAAAAGAAATGATTATTTCTAATCTATAATTAGACTGGAAGAAAGTCAAAGGGTGACTCAATATATTGTAAAAATGGCAGAGCAGTCACAAAGTGACAGGTCTTGGGGCCATATATAGCAATCACTACAGTCATGATGTGATGTCTGCCTCACACGGTACCTTCCACACTGGCCAGGGATTTATGGGAAACTGGCAATTATGACATATGTCCGGCTATTGCTAGCCTCAGATTTATCCCTGTGGTCCTTTTTTGTCTAGCATATTGCCTGAGCACAGACCAGGCAGGAGGAGCACTTATTCTTGCAAAGCTTTAATAATCTGTGAATGGCTGACTACAAACTGATATAGAGCACTATCATTCTACAGCTGCAATCCACCAGCCCCACGAAATTGCTGGCCACAAATAGTAATTAATCTTTTTATCCCTCAAATTGTAATTTTGACTATGAACTGTGCATGGCCATAAATCAGCGGCACATGCGCTGTGTACAGTGCATGAATCACGGCCGGGACTCCGTCCGACTGCACACACTGTGTTTAACAAGCTTTATAAGGAGCCATCGGGCTTTATTATGGCTCTGCCTGACTCCAACAAAAACTGAGCCTGGAGGCCCGGAGACGCAAGTTAAGATGAAAATACTTATTAGAGTACATTACTTCTTGATGTAGATATCGTTTTCTGTGGAGCAACTCCACAGTGCATGGCGCAACATAAATCAGGAGGTTTTCGGAGACTAATAAGACCTGCCGCCATCTATTCATTACTCCGCCCGCAATTTGGGCCATCATTCATTAGTAATTTGATGATTAACACCATCCAACTCGGCAGGCCTGCAGAGTGCAGGGGAACACAAAGGCTACGGCTTCCTAAGAGGAAGGTTAGGGGCTGCCTTTGAGAACACTCTCTCCAATAATTGGTCACCGTTATCCTCAAGTACTGGGCCTGTTGGTGTGTCTTGTAAGCAATGCAGGAAACCTGGCACGTACACTCAATAATACGCCCGAAAGTTGAGGTCCACAATATGATTTGACATTCCATCATACATCCCGGAGACAAAGGTCCGCACAGGAATGTGAAGTAAGACATTTTCTTGTTAATAAAGCATTGATCCGATGTATTGATTTTACATGACATGGCTTTTGCTGGGATTTTGCCCTCTTTTTTCTTTGCAAATAGTAAAGCTCTTCAAAATGCCTCGGTGTATGTGACATGGCAAAATTTCTAACTCTCTGTGATGTAAATTCTATATGTGTAAAACCACTTCATAATCAGACCATTAATCATCAGAAGCTGTCAGCGTTGACTTGGGGGACAATTTGTCATGTCTTGCCGGGTCCTGGGCAAAGGTATCACACAAAACCACAGTTTGGCCATCCGAGTGGACGGGTGGCTGCTCTGGCCTCACCAAAAGGCTTGGTCCCAAAAGGATTAAAGTGTTACATTTCTTGATGAGGGAACAAAAAACGTGGCCCACTGTGCATTCCTAATATGCCAGGTCTCTCCTCTCTCCCAGCTAATCACCATGACTGTTTGACTTAATGAATCGGCCTGATGAAAGGTGATCAGAAAAGATAGATGGGCGGCCATTATTGATTTCATGCAAATACCCCTGACAGGTGATAGACGCTTTAATGCAAGCTTTCAGAAGCTTTATGACTTGTAATAACCATACACTTTCACTCTAGGAGAGACGTTCTGCAGGGTTTCAGTTGAATTGATACTCTTCTTCTATAACCAAAAATATCTTAAAGCAGCAAAAATATGAAGGCACCTTTCACCTCTTGATTCAGACCGAAGAGCATCCACATCCATGAGCTCACTACTGAGAATAAGCAGGATGATGAGGGAAGTTCAGACAGGACGCTTATGCACACCAGGGCAGGTCCCTATCAGGCTGGACATGCCACAGCCAGGGGGCTGGGCAGCTGCTCCAGCCTGAAATCCCACCCAGACATTTGGCTTCTACAGATCCCAGGTGATCACACAGAAGAATTATTTTTTAAAAAACTGCTCCCATCTTTAAGTGGCAGGAACAGTGATACACATTCAAAGTCCTGGGAGACTTTATTCTGTTGGGGTGTGGGCATCCAATGTGCCCCTCCACCTCCTCTTGGCAGCTGCTTCTGTCTATATCTGGTGGGTCCATCTACTGTCCGAATCCCAGAGAGCCCATCCCCATCCTGTGCTGG